ACACTGGACACTCCTTTTCTATATTGAGATATGTTCAGTGGAGCGGAACTCGAGTTGCTAGATTGCTCTCGCTGAATGATGTTGCCGCGTACCTGCCTTTCATGGCGATGGAGTTCCCAAAAAATCTTTGTATAAGACGAAACTGAGGTGAAGAAGCTTACTGGTATAACTATATGGCTATACCATATTGTTATTCGGACGTTCTGCGCATACATTGCTGAGCAGGTAATGGAAACAATCCAGAACATGATGACACACGCGCACGCCTTTTTCACAGTCACAACTTGTCTGTACCTCAGCCCTAATGTCAAGGCGAGCAGCCTATCCACGCTTATTGCAGTCAGTGTTAACAAAGACATGCCGCAGAGAAGATAGCTTGCTATAAAGCTGGTAAATAATGCGTTGTAGCAGTCATCCTGTCGCTTTCTCACCGCGGACATCCAGTAAGTTATGGTAAGAGGCTCAGAAATGACACCAACGAGGAGATCAGTTGTAGCCAGGGATCGGAGAAATAGTTTGGACGGCGCGTGAAGAGTAGTCTCTTTGTGAAGGGCAATCAGGATCAGAATATTCCCCAGAGATGAACAAATGGCCAGCAAAACATTGAACGCCGAAATAAATATCAGATAACCGCGTATTCCTGCTGTTATTTCCTGAGAGCAAAACAATCGCTCGTAGGTTTTCTCCTCTGCATTTTCAGTAATGTTTTGGTAAATCGTCATGTTTTAAGCGACAGAAATGACTTAATGAGTTTTTGTATACTCAATTTGGAGTTATATATCACTGCGAGCTTCCTGCTTATTGGTCTTTGTGCAATTAAAATGCAATTTAATTATTCATGACTTCTTTCTTGAGGAAGGAGAGAACCATTAACTGTAAACATATCGAAAGTTGTTTTTGTATTGATAAAACACCAGCTTATTTGTCGTAGTAAGGCGTAATTTCAGCGTCTTAAGACACTTCATTGTATTTATAATATTATCAAATTAACACAAATACAAACAGTATTAGCCTCCCTGGTAAAGGAAACCAGAACAAACATTCTTTGCTATTGATTCAGTTTTTTTCGATCCATCTTTCGATATCTTTCAGTGTTTTTCGATCCATCTTGCGATATCTTTCAGTGTCTTTCGATCCATCTTTTGATATCTTTCAGCATTTTTCGATCTATTTTTCAGAACGTACACGGATCTTTCAGAACTATAATTTACTCGCCTATTTATAACTAAGTACTACAGCTTGTCCTTTGACAAACCCTCACCGTTTTCTTTTCCTTTTTTTTTTTTTAATCAGTTCTTCTAGTTTTTAAGGTCTAGCTTTCTTTTCGATTTTGTTATTGTTGTTGTTTTTTTTTCATGAAACTATACCGCCACTGATTTTCCAGCATGCAATAAACTGACCACTCAACTTATAGCGGAAGTCATCAGCTAAGTCCAGGGAAGAGTTGTTTGCCTGAATAATATATTTCTGGCTCTTGGAAACTGATTGGTTAGTCGCTGTGATGTTATTTGTTGTTTAGCGGTTGCAAATAGCCAGTCGTCGGTGTTTGCGTTCATCGTTGCTGTTAATGTCGTGGATGAGTTGTCTGTGCCAATAGCTGCTTGCATCTCTTTCAATGAGGAGTCTGTTCTAAGTGATCGATGAGCGCTCATGCTCTAAAAAGCACCCTTCCCCACACCGAGCCCGATGCCATAATATCAAACATGCGCCTATCTCGAATAAGCACAGGCTCTTCCGGTCCCTCGCTATCTTTATTAATAGGGATACAAGAAAAACCTGTTTCTATTGCAGCTTTATTTATAACTTTTTAAGCATCAACCACAGCCAATTTGGTACAGGAGAACAGTTTCGCTTCCAGTTATGGCTCCCTCCATACTGACTTGACGTCTACGTGGATGTTGCAGCTTTTGTCTTTTTTTTCTTTTTAAGATATAGCCAAAGTAAAGTTACAGCTCGTTGAAAAAGGCTGGATCGCCCTAAATATCCTTAAAACTGAATGTAAAATAAGGTCAGTTTATTTCTTTTGTCCAATAAAAGTACGTTTTTTACTACATATCAGTAAGAGTACGCCAGAGTGTCATATTTCGTTAATAATTACGGCATGGACCATCCACATCAATGTCATATATCACATATCGGTGAAGTGATCTTTGATACCAAACTCGATCGTCAACTTACGCGATGGCCTTCAATTCTGTTAATTTAAAAGCTGTTGTAGGCTTTTATCGAATTGATTCGGAAAAGGCATTTGAGCGTCACAGAAGCCCCGTTCTATTAATGATGTAAACACCGTATTGGCGCTAAAAAAAGCACCTTATTTCGTTCCTTGGTCTAAAAGATTTGTTCAGTAAATATGGCCTCGGATATTTTGATGTGAAACTTTATCACCTGGCTCCGAAATAAGGAGGGAAGAGCGACAGTTTTGCCTTAACTACGTACGAGCAATAGAATCTGGAGCTTCCGACCATGCCAGCTGGAATAGGAAGCGAATTCAAGAGTGTGTATTGGAATGGTTTGGTATTTGGTATTGTGTAAATATATCAGTTAAAAGCCTACTCTGTAGTATAAAACGCCTCTAATACCAACTTATCAGTAAGCGCTCAGAATTTTGCGAGGACTGTGATAAGAAGGCCTTGTTAGCACTGAATTCTAGTGTACAGAATGAGACCTTGCCTGCAGAACTTTCCCTGGTTATTGCCTTGCCAGATGTGGTTCACCGCGGGAAGAGTCTCAGGAGTAGCTGGTTCATTGACCTTAAGGGCGCAAGAAGTAAGCTCGTCTTAATACGCACACTGCGTGATCCTGGAAGCCTTGATATTCGCAAAAATTTTGGTGAAGCCTTACCCTCGCTTGTGTGCGAAACGAAGATCATATGGCAGTTGAACCAATCGTACACCTCACCAGACCAACAGTCTTAGATGTTTTATAAGAAGTCACGTCTGTGGTTCACACCCTGGTGCCAGAAAGTGTCGCTTTTGGTAATCAACTCAAGGTGGACAGGCCTCTTTATGCAAAAGACCTATCGCTCTTTAACGTGGAACCCAAGGCAA